GGAGAAATGCTATTCCGGATGATTATATTGTATTTCTCCAAGAACATGAGGAAAGTAGTGGAATGTTAGAAGATGATCCAATCAACTTCTCTCAGGCCATGAAAAGTTCTAACTCTCAACAGTGGATTGATGCCATGAATGAAGAGTATAAGTCTATGCAAGACAATAAGGTTTGGGAACTTGTCCCATTGCCAGAAGGTGCAAAACCAATTGGTTGTAAATGGATTTTTAAAACCAAGCGGGATGCAAACGGTAATGTGGAGAGGTATAAGGCGCGTCTTGTGGCTAAAGGCTATACTCAAAAGGAAGGCATTGATTATACAGAGACTTTCTCTCCGGTTTCATCGAAAGACTCTTTCAGAATAATCATGGCACTTGTTGCTCATTATGATCTTGAGTTACATCAGATGGATGTTAAGACTGCATTTCTCAATGGAGACATTGATGAGATGATTTATATGGTGCAACCAGAAAACTTTGTGTCAGGAGACCCAAAGAATATGGTTTGCAAATTAAGGAAATCCATCTATGGACTCAAGCAAGCTCCTCGTCAATGGTATCATAAGTTTCAACAAATAGTTATCTCGTTCGGTTTTGAGATGAACATTGTTGATGACTGTGTATATCACAAGTTCAGTGGGAGTAAGTATATTTTTCTGGTTCTGTATGTGGATGACATCTTGCTTGCCACTAATGATATAGGCATGTTGCACGAAACCAAGAGATTTCTATCAAAGAATTTTGAGATGAAAGATCTTGGGGACGCCTCTTTTATATTAGGGATCCAGATACATCGAGATCGCTCTCGGGGTATTCTTGGATTATCACAAAAGAGCTATATCGATAAGGTACTTAAAAGGTTTGGCATGCAAGATTGCAGACCAGGTGACACCCCTGTTGCTAAAGGAGACAAGTTTAGTCTCAATCAGTGCCCTAAAGGTAACCTTGAAATTCAGGAAATGCAGAAGATTCCTTATGCTTCGGCTGTAGGAAGTCTAATGTATGCTCAGGTATGTACGCGTCCGGATATTGCGTACATTGTTGGGATGTTAGGCAGATACTTAAGCAACCCTGGTATGGATCATTGGATAGCAGTCAAAAGGGTTATGAGGTATCTTCAGAAAACAAAAGATTACATGCTCACATACAGAAAATCAGAGAAATTAGAGGTCATTGGGTATTCGGACTCTGATTTTGCTGGATGCCAAGATAGCAGGAAGTCTACATCAGGCTACATTTATATGTTAGCAGGAGGAGCTATATCATGGAAAAGTGTCAAACAAACACTAGTAGCTTCCTCCACTATGGCAGCAGAATTTGTAGCTTGCTATGAGGCATCCAATCAGGGAATATGGCTGCGAAATTTTGTCACGGGACTGCGCATTTTGGAAAATGTTGAAAGACCACTAAGGTTATATTGTGACAATAAATCTGCAGTAATGTATTCCAATAACAACAGGAGCTCAACTAAGTCAAAACATATTGACATTAAGTTCCTGGTTGTGAAAGAAAGGGTACATAGTGGACAAATATCCATAGAGCACATTGGGACAAACTCCATGTTAGCTGATCCTCTTACTAAGGGATTACCACCTAAGGTCTTTCATGAGCATACTGCTCATATGGGTGTGGTATTATTTGAGGATATTATGTTTTAGTGAGAGTTTGTAATTTTGGTGCTTTATGTTTGGTTGTATTGTCTGATCAGAATAAAGTATTCAGTTAAGACACTCTGTTACATTATGTTTGGTTTTGACCTCACTAAGGAGGACCAGTTGAAAATAGACATGTACTGATCACATTGCATGTAATTTTCATGCTGCACATCCATGATTGATCTATGTCATTTGATTGTATTGGTATATGTGACCATTGATGGGTCGAGTCACGATAAATGTGACGAAGACCGCTTTGATCCTATATTGATATAGTCAATGGACGAGATTGTTTGAAAATACCATTTCAGTGATAGCAATTTTTGAGCTCATAAGGTTATACACAATTTAAGGAATCATATGGTGCCCAAGTGGGAGATTGTTGGATTTAATCTAATAAATCTATTTGTGGGCACATATGATTAATCAATGTGTATTGCTATCTTTCAGGATAACCCACTAAAGTGATCAATTAAGCTGGGTTAATGTGTATTTAAATATAATCATGGGGTTATATGTGCAGTTACTAGGTTGTAATTGTAATTTATTGAGGGGCTAAATTACAAAAGTACAACATCTATAAATAATGGGTTATGGTCCCTAACCTAGGGTTACATTCTCTAATTCTCTACACCCCCATCTAGCTAGAGAAATTCGGATTTAGAGAAACCCTAAGGTTAGAAGATCATCAAAAAACCCAAATCAAGATTTCATCTATGGATTCAGGTATAAGCTTCCGCTCTTTTAGATTCTTGTTAATCTCTTCGAATTAATCATGGCTATATGGTTTTTAGATCTCAAGTTTTGGTTTAGATCTAACATTACAAACTATTTAAATTACATCAAATAAAAATGTAGTTGCAGACTCGGATAAAAATTTTCTCGTTGGAGCATATGATAGACCATCGTTAAACACATAAGATTCTCAAAGTTTCTCAACAAGTTTTTCAACTCGTTTTTCGGATGAATATTAGAGAACCTAACAAACCAATAAGTAATCAATTTCGGAGAATATGGTGACCCTTAATATTATAGCATACAGTTAAAGAAGAAGATGAATTTTTGATGAAATACCTATCAAGATTCACGTTTGCCGTTGATTGTTTAGTTGTTTAATCTTCTTTCAAGTTCATCGTGATCACTTTAGGGTTCCTCTGTCTCTCACAATTTGGAGACAGGCTCTGTTCTCTCGTTGCAGCACGGAGCTGTTTTTTTTTTTTTTTTTTTTTTGTCAGTTAACAGTAACATGGATGCGTGATTTTTTTAGGAATAATATGATCGTTATATTATAAGATATGAGATGGTCTTTTGAGGTGGGTATGGTATTATTGGTCTTACGGTTTATATTTAACGGGGTTTTTAACAGAGAGTTGAAATAGGACTAACTTCGCACCTAATAATAAGACACGTAATAATAAGAGGTATAATAAGGCCTAACTTGAGAGGAAAAAAAAGTACGGTGATCAAGTTGAGAACGAAGGCCTAGTACAGGGACCAAATTGGCCTTTTGAGAAATTTACCTTATTGCTCCTATTTTTTTACTGGAAGAGCATAGAACGATCCACTCGCATGTAAACGTTTTCTGATAGAATGTGCACCCTTAACCCACGATACAATATTATAGCAACAAATGATAGACGTACTTTAACTTAATTCGATCTAGTATCCAGTGGATAGTTTTCTATGTCAATGTATTTAGGGAGAAGTTATTCTATGTCAATGTACGTGTGGATAAATTATTCTATGTCAATGTATGTATGGATAAATTGTCAAATGCTCGGATTTAGGACATAAATTTATAAATATGATAAGTCATAGATGTATAAGCAAAAAAGAAAAATCTAATTTATAGTTTTTTTAACATTAGTCCCTTACATTTTTAATATTTTGATATTGGTCTATAAAATAATTAGATTTGCTACTAGGTCCCCAAAACTCATAAACTTTTCAAATTAGTCCTCCATCATAACTTCTGTCATGTGTGTTAACTGTCGGTTAGGTTAGTGATAGTCATGCACCATGAAATGGATTATGGCGAGCAGGTGACAATTGGGAAGGAAGATGTTTTAATGTCTATAGGTTTTGAACAGCTTTGGGGTATTGAAACACCTATGATGTCAAGCCCCAGACCGATGGGCCTCTTGGCCCGTTCTAAGCCGCAGGACCTACTGAGTGTAGTGCGTAGTTTTGCTCAAACCACTACTAAAATTGACTAGCCGATGCTACACTTGAGTCTTAGACTTACCTATTTAAGTCACACAAACATTTCACACTATCCTGATGTGACACTATATCACCTAGGACATCACAATTGCCCCCACCTTACATATGCGACATCCTCGTCACGACATAACAATTGATACATCCCAATATCGCTAGGGAATATGGACTCTAGAGAAGGCTACTACAGGCTTTAGATGTGGCTACCACCGTGCCCACCCGGTGTAGCACTTAGCCCCACAAAGCATTTAGCTCCGCACTTCCGACCGGCAATTGTTCCGATACCATTTATCACGCCTCCGGGCCCGTGGGCTCGTTGGCACGTTGCAAGCCGTATGACCTACTAAGTGTAGCACGTTATTTGACTCAAACCACGGCCAAAATCGAGTAGCCGATATTACACTTGAGTCTTGGGGCTTAGCTATGTAAGCTACACAATTTTTTTTCACACTTTCCTGATGTGTGACTATATCACTTGGGGCATCACATATGAGTTTTGCTCGGTACCAAACAAAAGGGCGTAACTGAAATTCTAAGTCAAAAAGTTAATTTAAAGGGGTTTTTCCCCAAGAAACCACCCGAAAATAAGATAATTATATAAAAAACATATTTTATTTTTAATTTATTAATAAACACCTTTAAAGCAGGTTTTTGATGCAAATCACCCACCTCTCAGTTAAAAATTTACTAAAAAACTAAAAATAATTTAAAATTTTCAAATTCAAGGCACGCAATTTGTATCCTAATGACCTATAAAAAAAATAAATCATGGTGACTTGAATGTGAGTTTTTTTCTAGAGTATTTTGAAGTTTTAGTAAAAATTTTGGCTAGGAAGTGGTTGATTACAATAAAAACTCATTTGAAAGAAAATTTATGCATAAAAAATAAAAGATGGTTTCTGTATAATTATCATATTTTAAAGGTGGTTTCTACGGGAAAAAACTGATTTAAATAGAATATTCCTTTAAAATCAAGCCATAACAAACTAGCGGGAATAATTTGAAACAAAGTTTACAAGATTTGAGGGACCAAATAGCAATTTTAAAGATGTGGGGGCCTACTTTCAGCTCACGAACTTTCAACTGCCGCTGCCAACTCTCTCTTTAGATCCGACTCCGTCCAAAAAAACACCGGCGTAAAAAAGGGCGGATCTATCAATGCTCATACGAAAATAAATAAATAAATAAACTTATAAATGAGAAATAACTCAGTCCTCGTACTAATTTTCATCTGTCCAGGCCTCTCCAATTTCCCCCATTCTCTCCAATGGAGTCCACCTTCTTCAACCTTCCCTCAGATCCCAAAACCCTAAACCCTTGCCTCTCCAAACTCCCCAATCTCCCTTCAACCCTCAAAAAGATCACAAATTTCTCAACCCCAAGGCGGAAGTTCCCATCTTTCATCGTAAAATGCTCAGCTTTGAACCCGAAACCTCAAAAAATCCCTGAAAATCCAGAACCCATTCAAACCCATGAGCCCAAGGTTCGGGTTCAACCTCCTCTCTGCACGAAAATTGAGAAACTGGTGTTCATGAAGAAGTTCAGAGAGGCCCTCGAGCTTTTCGAGATTTTGCAATGTAATGGCCAATCCCTCCCCGATTCAACTTATCATTATTTGATCACCGCCTGCATCGGGCTTCGATCGAATTGGGACGCAAAATTGTTGCTTCGGCATATGATTGATTGTGGGCTTGAGTTTGATCAGGACATTAGGAATAGAGTTCTTCTAATGCACTTGAAATGTGGGTTAGTTACTGATGCCCGCCGACTGTTTGCTGAAATGCCTGAGAAAGATGTTGCATCTTGGAATATAATGATTTCTGGTCTACTTGATTTGGGATCCTTTGATGAGGCATTTGACCTGTTTTTGATGATGTGGTCGGAGTGTTCGGATGCTCGTGATTCGAGATCTCTGATGAATGGGATCAGGGCTGCATCTGGATCGAGCTATGCTTTTGTTGGTAACCAATTACATGCTCTTAGTTTCAAGTTGGATCTCTACGATAATAGTTTTGTATCTTGTGCTTTGATTGATATGTATGGTAAATGCGATCATCTTGAAGAGGCTAAATGGGTTTTTGATGAGATGAAAGAGAAGAGTGTTGTTGCTTGGAATTCAATTATAAAAGGATACGCTCTTCATGGTTATAGTGAAGAGGCTCTTGATTTGTACTATGAGATGCAAGGTTCCGGTGTGAAGATGGATCACTTTACGTACTCGATTGTTATTAGCATTTGTGCTCGGTTGGGTTCTTTAGAGCACGCGAAGCAAATCCATGCTGGTTTGATTCGGAATGGGTTTGGTATGGATTTAATTTCTAACTCTGCTTTAGTTGACTTATATTGTAAATGGGGGAGGATGGAGGATGCTCGAAATATCTTTGATAGGATGCCTCGTAAAAATTTGATTACTTGGAATGCTTTGATAGGGGGATATGGGGTTCATGGAATGGGTGAAGAAGCAGTTGCCATGTTTTTAAAACTGGTGGATGAGGGTTTACTACCCAACCATGTAACATACCTTGCAGTTCTAAATGCTTGTAGTTACTCTGGATTGTCAAGCAAAGGTCACGAGATTTTTGAGCGTATGTCAAATAATCCTAAGACGAAGCCTAGAGCAATGCACTATGCATGCATGATTGAAATATTAGGTCGAGAGGGGCTCCTAGATGAAGCTCTTAGTCTCATAAAAAATGCACCTTTTCCACCCACAAGAAACATGTGGGGTGCACTGCTCACAGCTTGTAGGGTTCACAAAAACCGTGAGCTTGGAGAGTTTGCAGCCAAGAAGCTCTATGGATTGGAGCCACAAAAATTAGGCAATTATGTCGTTCTTTTGAATATTTATAATAGTTCAGGGAGATCAGATGAGGCTGCCGATGTTTTAGAAACATTAAAAAGAAGAGGCTTGAGATTAGTTCCGGCATGTAGCTGGATTGAAATCAAGAAACAATCTCATAAATTTCTCTTTGGCGATAAGTCCCATCCAAAGAGCATCGAGATCTATAAGAAATTGGAAGAGTTAATGAAGGAGATTGGTAAATTAGGCTACTCACATGGAGGAAAATGTTTACTTCCTGATGTGAAAGAGGAAGAACAGAGGTTTTCAGGTAGTCATAGTGAAAGATTAGCTATTGCTTTTGGTCTCATTAGTACTCCAAGCTCGAGTTTGCTACAAGTGGTGCAAGGACACAGAGTTTGTGATGATTGCCATGATGCTATAAAGATGATTACAACAGTGACAAAAAGGGAGATTGTCTTGAGGGATGCAAGTCGCTTTCACCATTTTAAAAATGGATCTTGTTCCTGTAGAGATTACTGGTGAGTCCCTTTATTGTTTATGTTTTGACACTTAAATTTGGGTTGTTAGTTTCATGACAGGTTTTAATTCTTTACACCAAAATCCAAATAAAGCATTAAGTATTCTTACCAAGTAAAAGCAAATTTTCAGCGCAGTTCAGATTTTTGTTTATGTTGCGAATTTTTTTTGTTCTTAATGATTGATAACTATGTTGTTTTTCTCCTTGAAAATCCATGACTAGCGAATCTTGTGTATGTATCCCTATAGTTGAACGCTCTTAGAATTATCCTGCTCTATTGCTTGATGTAACAGGAAAGTTTATTGATTGCCTTTCTATTGCTTGATGTAACAGGAAAGTTTATTGATTGCCTTTCTACTTTTGCTTTTTATGGGAACAATTTTGCAGGCTCATCCTCTCTCTCTCTCTCTCTCTCTCTCTCTCTCTCTCTCTCTCTCTCTCTC